AAACAGAGAAGCAAGGAGACAATGAATCAAAGAAACAGAGAAGCAAGGAGACAATGAAACAAAGAAACAGAGTAGCAAGGAAACAAGGAAGAAGACAATGAAACAAAGAAGCAATTATGAATATGTATGCATGTTTGAATGCAAGTGAACAAGTAAATATGCAAAGAATCAAAGAAGAATATAAGAAAACAAGTAACAACAACACGCAAGGAACTAAGGAATGGTGACAAACAAAAATTGAGGAAACCTCTGTGGTATCCTCCTCCGTATACACCACCACGACGTACTCCTTCACTGTCACATCCTTTACTTCATCTTCATCTCCTGCGAGAAAAGAGACAATCTGTTACAAACAAATGCACCAGGTTTAACGAAAATAATACTTACCAAGTTCCAAATCTTCTTTGCTGATATTAACCAACTTCTTTTCTTTGTAGATTTGTAAATTCTGAATTGCAACCTCATCAACCAAGTATAGAACCTACCATTCGAAAAGCCAGCAGTAAGAAAACAAATCAAACCAGAATCATGTGCCAAGACAATATCTTTTCAAGATGAAAACCTAAGCTTGAAGCATATACCTCGATGTCTTTTTGGACTTGGCCCTCTTTAAGCTATCGGTTGCAAGGTAGTAGATCGCCTTTTGGTTCTCTCGCATGTTCTCGATATATTCATCCAAGCTTGTCAAAGGTTTTCCTAATGAGACCCTTTCTCATGATTCTTACCTGAATATTATCAAGAAAATAGTTTAGATAGGAGGTGAGATTCTTATATAATCAACATTTGTATTACTACTAACTGTTGACCACTTACAATCCTGCTTTCTTGGAGAAATTTCATTGGAAACGTTAAAAGGAAGATCATCTGAGTCCACCACACCCTTCACAAAGTTCAAGTATCATGGGAACTGCGTATAGATTACGAAACATGGTCAGACAAAAATGTAACCAGGGGAAATCCATAGAGAGTTCTACAAAAGAAAGAACTAATATATACACAAGACTCACAGGTTCTCCATCAAAATCGTCAGAGATAAACACACGCTTCACGTAAAGTCGAATGTTCTTTGCCTTAGGGGTTTTCACATCCTCGTTGTTACAAAATGCTCCTGGACTCAACCTCACCCTTTGATATTCAAGACAATATAACAAGTAAGCACAAGTCGGAGAATTTATAAATTGACATGTATGCATGTAAATAGTGTATAAGGAGAAGGACATCTGTTGTGAAGTGCGTGTGAGCAAGTGGATCCAAGAACTCAATGGAAGCTTTTTTGTAGAACTCATTGTACTCTTCTTTTTCCACTTCCTATTCAAAGACACAAACTAATCAGCAAACATTTTAAACGAAGACAAAACACACTTTAAAGCTATTAGGCTTACCCATAGCGGTTTTGTCTCGTTGGCTAGTTCCCAATCCCAGTACTTCTCAATTTTAGTTGTCTTCTTTTTCTTTGGCTCACCCTAGAAACGAACAAGTAACAAGAAATCAACTTAGCAAACAAAATTCTAAGACAGTACTTGGTTTTGGAGATCTTATACAGACAATTAAAAACCATAAAAGTCTTACCTCTTCTCCTTCCTTCACTGGTTCTTGTCCCTAGAAACGAACAAGTAACAAGAGATCAACTTAGCAAACAAAAGTCTAAGACAGTACTTGGTTTTGGACAGCTTATACAGACAATTAAAAACCATAAAAGTTTTACCTCTGCTCCTTCCTTCACTGGGTCTTCCTCTTCAACTTACACCGAGTAACAAAGTTTTAAAACACATAAGCAACGTGAATACACTGTTATAGTTAAAAAAAAAGCTGACATCCTCACCTCTATAGTCCTTGATTTCTCCTGCCATGTATAGATGGGAAACCCAACAAACTGAGAGTAATTCTTAACAAGATTCTTGATCCTCGTAGAATCCGCAAATTCTTACTTATCATCGTCCTGCACCCCGGGAGTAAGCAGTCAACTAAACTATATAGATCAAATGTAAGAATACTTGAATAGAGAATGTTTTCAGGGTCTGTTTCTTCTTTGATCACATATGAGCTACTATCAGCTACCGATTCCCAAACATATTGCTTGTCAGATTTAGGGCTTTTGATGGACACAATAATCTGAAAAGTAGAAACAATTATCAGCCCACTCCTCAGAACAGTTACACTAACCAAAAGACACTAACAACAAAAGTTAAAAGTCTTCACCTTTCCAGCCAAAAGTTAAACCCAAAACAGTCTATAAATGAAATAGTGTACCATCAGTGAGATTACCCTATGCATTAAAAATAATTACGAGATCAAATAAATGACAACTTACAAGTGGAGTTCTCTTGTTTTAACTCCAAGGTGAGACTTCTACCACTGCTTATAGATTTTAGAAATGATAAGGTTTAATAACAAACAACATTGAAAATGGCAGATAGATTAGCTAATTTGTGGTGGATCATACTATAATGTACTCAAACATTCATTTCAAACTATAAAATAGAAGAGAATAAAAGGTTCTTAGTTCTTTTACCTTTTAGTGTCATATGAAGAGATGTTAATATTTCATTCATCAGAGGCTTCCTACTCCAGAAAAGAGGCAAAGAGCTTTCCACAATATGCTGATAGTTTAATCATCCTACACCTCGAGAAGTTGCATTCTGTCACATAAAAAACAAAAGAAAACTGAGAATATAAGCAAGGCTATTGACTACGAAGAAGCCGAGAATAATTGGTATAAACCTAACATTGTAAAGCAGATATATGATAAGCTAACTTGTAGTGGTCCATGTTCGTAAATTTCAAAGTATTGAAACACTAAAGACCTTTTTACCTTTTAGTTTCAGTTATACCTTATCTGATTTGGTATAGAAACTATGACATCAAATCAACCTGTTGTATATTTTGGGGAAAACACGTACTCAAACCTTGTGCCAGAGATATGCGGTAGTCCCGAGTCTGGTTGCGAGTAGACTAGACTCAATGTCGCAAACCCTGAAAACTTAAAACCAACAAATAAAATATCTAGAGAGAAGAATGATCATAGAACCTGATCTTTGGTCTTTCAAGTAAGTTTCTGAGAGGCTGGTATAAATAGATATGGTCTATGTGGCAGAAAGAGTAATGAGGACGCGGAAATTTTCTTGACAGATCATGCTCAAGAGTCTCCATTCTGTAAAGTAGTATCACTATCAAAGCAAAATAGATAATTCTATATATGGAACATTAGACTGAGACAGTTAGTGAGCAAATAAGCACGCAAGTTAAGGATGGTAATGAAACAATGGATGACGAAATAAAAGAAGGAAGCAAATAAGTAAATAATGGAGGCAGAAAAGAGGGTAGCAAGTAGCAGTTATGAAAGTGTACAATCAATGGAGCAAAGAAGCAATGAAACAAGGAAGAAGACAATGAATCAAAGAAACAAAGAAACAAGGAAAAAGACAATAAATCATAAAAACAGAGAAGCAAGAAAACAAGGAAGGAGACAATGAAACAAAGAAACTGAGAAGCAAGGAGACAATGAATCAAAGAAACAGAGAAGCAAGGAAACAGGGAGGAAGACAATGAATCAAGAACCAGAGAAGCAAGGAGACAATGAAACAAAGAAATTGAGAAGCAAGGAGACAATGAAACAAAGAAACAGAGAAACAAAGAGACAAGGAAGAAGAAAATGAATCAAAGAAATAGAGAAGCAAGGAGACAAGGAAGAAGAAAATGAATCAAGAACCAGAGAAGCAAGGAGACAATGTAACAAAGAAACTGAGTAGCAAGGAAACAAGGAAGAAGACAATGAAACAAAGAAGCAATTATGAATGTGTATGTATGCATGTGAACAAGTAAATATGCAAAGAATCAAAGAAGAATATAAAAAAACAAGTAATAACACGCAAGGAACTAAGGAATGGTGAGAAACAAAAATTGGAGGAAGCAAGTAAAAATAGTTAACAAAGATCCATAACTTCTGTGTATCCTCCTCCTCCGTATACACCACCACGACGTACTCCTCCACTGTCGCTTCCTTTTTGACGATCAAGCACTTCTTTCTATCACATTCATCTTCCCGATAAGATCATCTAAAGTAATTCAAGATATCAACATAACATGCACAAACTTATTATCCATCAAATATGTATCCAACTAAAATCCAACCAAAATTCTAAAACTACAACACCTTACTCCCAATTAATTCAAGAAATAAAAATAAACCTCTAAACTAAGTTAAACCTCATTATTGTTTTTTGACACAATCTTATTACTCTAGTTTTTTATGAATTTTTTCACCTTTTCTTCCATATAAACGTTTGTTTTTTTGATGAAATTTTGTTTTCAATATTTTTTGGTTTACTAAGGAAATTTGTTTTGACCCCCCATAACTAATATTCTGCCTCTGTATTAACCTTGCTTTTGCTAATATACTAACCTTTCCATATTAGCTGACCACCCGAATTTGCCCGAGACAAACACACAAGAAGAAGAGCTCAAACGATTTGAGACTTGGACTTTAGCAACTTTTTCATCTGAGTTGCTGTTTTATCCAGTCACAGAGAAGGTTAAACTCTTCTTTAGCTTCCCTTTCCTTTACTTCATATATCTTCATCTCCTGCGAGAAAAGACAGAATTTGTTACAAACAATTTGCACGAGGTTTGACGAAAATAATACTTACTAAGTTCCAAATCTTCTTTACTGATATCACCCAACTTCTTTTCTTTGTAGGTTTGTAAATTCTGAATTGCAACATCCTCGTTGTTACAAAATGCTCCTGAACTCAACCTCACCCTTTGATATTCAAGACAATATAACTAGTAAGCACAAGTCGGAGAATTTATAAATTGACATGTATGTAAATAATGTCTAAGGATAAGGACCACTGTTGTGAAGTAAGTGGATCCAAGAACTCACTGGAAGCTTTTTTGTAGAACTCATTGTACTCTTCTTTTTCCACTTCCAATTCAAAGACACAAACTAATCAGCAAACATATTAAACGAAGACAAAACACACTTTAAAGCTATTAGGCTTACCCATAGCGGTTTTGTCTCGTTGGCTAGTTCCCAATCCCAGTACTTCTCAATTTTAGTTGTCTTCTTTTTCTTTGGCTCACCCTAGAAACGAACAAGTAACAAGAGATCAACTTAGCAAACAAAAGTCTAAGACAGTACTTGGTTTTGGACAGCTTATACAGACAATTAAAAACCATAAAAG